AAATCAGAAAATCAGGAATCGACTTCAAGTTCAAAATTCTGACAACGGTCAGACAATAAATGCAGCACCGGAACCCTTACAGACATTCGACGAAGCACCGAATAGCCTGAAGGATTGAAGGAATCAAGAACAGAAGCCATTCCAAGGTCCCGTTACACCGACTGAAGGTTGGGACAATCATATCCAAAGTATTCCAGACTCTTCTATAAAAGAACGAGGCTGAAATACTTTGGAGGGGGTATCTGTAGGCGTATAAAATTACTTATAGGACCCTTAGCACAGCTCGGTACAAACCGACGAACCAATATTGGGATTCGGACTATCAAATCAGAGTCCGGATCAACAACGAAGCGGGTTTACTGCCAAATCAGGATTCAGATCAACAAATCAGAGTCCAAATCAACCACGAGACCGGAAAAAACGGCAAAACCCAAACACCAAGGGGACTCGGCCAAAACCGAGCCACCTCTAGGTGGCTCGGTGGCCGAGCCACCTATAGGTGGCCAGCCCAGATTTGTGCCAAGGCATAGATCTGAGAGCCTATAAATAGACCCCCTTTGCTCATTTGTTAGAGGTTGGAACTTTTGGAGCCGAAACTCTGCCGAATTGAGAACTGAGCTTGGAGTTTTGAAGACTTGAAGACTTGGACATTCAGATCTGGTTCTTAGCGAGCATCCACGTCACAAAAGGCAGGAGTTCGAGAGAGAGAGAAATCAGATCTGAGATCTACACGAAGTAATACTCCGGATCAAAGCTTGGCCTTTGATCCCAAGAACTAAAGGCTATTATTTCCTTGGTGAAATAGTACCCCCGGCTGTTGTTTCCTTAGTGAGATAACACCCGTCAAATCGTGTAGGTCCGACCGGATCTAGATCGCGCGGTGGTCCACGGATTAACCCCGGCGTTGGCAAAGAACCCACAAAAGCGAGTGACCGCAAAACAGGAGCTCGTGATTCGTTCGAAAGGAAAGTTGTAATCTTTTTATTTTTTCTTTGATTTCGTTGTAACCGGATCTTATAAAAAGATCGGATCTTTTGTAATCAAAAAGCAATTACTTGAGAGAACAATGACGTCAATGAAGAAAACAACAATTTTTCCCGCGAACAATACGGTAGAATCTACCTTTTTCTTTAAAGCTTGGAGGATGCATTTGTTGGCAGCCTCTGTGAGGCCGTTTGATTTCGGATGAGCAACTATGGCAAATTTGAGGTGGATGTCGTATTCCTCGCAAAACTCTCAGAAACCTTAGCTATTAAAGTAGGTGCCGTTATTGGTAATGAATGACCGAGGTACACTGAAGCGACAAACAATGGATTTCCATACGAAGTTGGTAATGTTGCTCTCACCGATCTTGGCTAAGGGTTCGGTCTCAACCCACTTAATGAAGTAATCGATTGCCACAATGTGGAATTTCCTCTGTCCTGGGGCTAATAGGAGAGGCCCTAGCAGGTCTAATCCCCATTGGGCAAAAGGGATGGGACTCACTATGGAAGTCAATTCGGTCGCGGATGCTCTTGGAATGGATGAGAAATATTAACACTTTTGACAGTGAGATACAAGCTTTGTTGATTCGACCAAGATAGTCGGTCAGTAATAACCTTGTCGGATAACTTTCTGCGCTAAGGTTCGAGCCCCCGGGTGATTTCCACATGTACCCTCGTGAATTTCACGGAGCACATAAAGGACTTCAGGAGGTCACAAGCATTGAAGGTAGGGCCCTATACTACTCTTGATATAGGATATTCGGTAGAGTTGGTCTTCTATCATGAGATAGCGGCGAGAATTCCTCAGTAGGCGCTTGGCTTCGGCCTGCTCCTTCGGTAAGATGCCTTACGTTAAGTAGAGGAGGATGTGATCTAGCCAGCAGGGCGGCATGGGGCCTTCTATTTCCCCAACATTCATAGGTGGTTTAGAAATGCTGGGATGCTCCAATGTATCTATATAGATTGGTCCAGAGCTCATTCTCGAACCCGTCTATCCCAATTTGGAGAGGGCGTCCGCTCGAGCGTTGAGGGCTCGGGGGACTTGGACTATCTTGGTCTCATAAAAGCTTGACAGAAGTTCTTTAGCGACCTTGAGATATAGGGCCATCCTCGAATCCTTGGCTACATAGCGTCCATTGACTTGGTGGACGATCAGTTGTGAGTCGGCTAGAATGTAAAGGCTTTGGGCTTTCAAAGCCTGGGCCGCTCGCAGACCCATGAGCAAGGCCTCGTACTCAACTTCATTATTCGAGGTCGAGAACTTGAAGGTGATGGAGTGTTCATATGTCGTCCCATCGGAGCTTCGTATGACCACCCATGCTCCACTATCGGCTTCCCCGGAAGATCCATTGACTTGCAACATCTACCAAGAGGCATACTCTGGTGCCTCATGCTCCAAGGTATGATGAGCGGGTGGAGTTACCTGTCTCTCGAGCTGTAAGGGCTGTGAGGTTGGAGTGCTTACATCTGATTCATCATTATAGGGGGCCGATTCAATCAGGTAGTCCGCCAAAGCTTAGGCTTTAATAGTAGTCTGTGGTTCAAACTGGATGTTATGTTCACTGAGCTCGACTGCCCAAGACACCATTCTTCCTAAAGTTGTAGGGCTACCCAAAGCTTTCTTCAAAGGGAGGCTCGTCCTGACAATGATGGCATGAGCTTGGAAATAAGGACGGAGTCTCCTCGTCGTAAAGGTGAGAGCGAAAGCAGCCTTTTCTATGAAAGGGTAATTGAGCTCGCTGGCTCTCAATATTTGACTCACATAGTAGATGGGCTTTTGAATATTTTCTTCTTCTCGAATGAGGACAGACCTCACCGCCTCGGAGGAGATAGCAATATATATGAACAAAATCTCACCTTTCATGGGTTGGCTCAACAATGGCTTGGTGCTGAGGTAGGCTTTGAGATCTTGAAATGATGTTTTACATTCACCTGTCTAGGTTATACCCTCCTTCAGGTTTTTGCTTCCCCTAAGAACTTTAAAGAAGGGGAGACTTCTCTCCGCGGATTTGGACAAGAATCGTCCCAAGGCCACAACCCTCCCGTTTAACTTTTGAATTCCTTTCAAAGTGTGAGGTTCAGGGAGTCGTTCTATAGCAGCGATTTTCTTAGGATTTACCTTGATTCCCCTTTGGCTGATCATAAACCCAAGAAACTTCCCGGATTGTACTCCGAAGGCACACTTGGCTGGGTTAAGTTTCATCTGATAGCACCTGAGGGTTGAGAAAGTCTCTTCCAAGTCCGAGATATAGGTAAATGCTTGTTTGGATTTTACCAATAAGTCATCCACATACGCTTCGAGGTTCCGGCCAATCTGGTGTTGAAAGACCTTGGCTACGAGCCTCTGGTAAGTGGCCCCAGCATTCTTCAACCCGAAGGGCATCATCTTGTAGCAATATGTGCCCATATCAGTGATGAACGAAGTTTTTTCCTGGTCATGTTTCACTATGAAGATTTGATTGTAGCCAGAGAAAGCATCCATGAAACTGAGTAACTCATGCCATGCACTCTCGTCAACCAGCTGGTCGATCCTAGGAAGGGGGTAACTATCTTTGGGGTAGGTTTTATTGAGGTCGGTGAAATCTACACACATCCTCCATTTGCCCAAAGCTTTTTTCACCAAGACCACATTGGCCAGCCATTCTAGATATTTAACCTCCCGGATGAAGTCAGCTTTCAAAAACCATTTTACTTCATCTGTCGCTGCCTTCTGGCGCTCCGGGCCAAGATGCCTCTTCTTCTGTCGAACCGGCTTGACATGTCGGTCCACGGCCAATTCATGACTTATGACCTCGAGGGGAATCCCTGGCATGTCCTCGGGTTCCCAAGCGAATACATTTGTATTGGCTTTTAAAAACCGGATTAGAGCCCTCTTCAAGGGTTCGATTAGACCGGACCCCACTTTGATCTTTTTTATTCATGCCGAGTCAATTGGGATGTCTCGAAGCTCTTCTGTCGGTTCTGTCCTTGGTTTCTCAATGGCTTTCTCCATCTGGGAATAGAGTTTTTTGATGGACATCGTGCCTTAGGCACCCTTTCCTTTGACTGAGAGTGAATAGCAAGACCTAGCTTCTTTTTGGCTGCTTCGAGCGACGCCAACTCCGTTGGGAGTCGAAAATTTGAGGATTTGGTGGTAGGTTGAAGCAATGGCCCACAAGGCATGAAGGACGGTCCGACCTAATATAACATTATGGGCCGACTTTAAATCCATCATAAGAAATTAGATTTGAGTAGTGACTTTTTGGGAGGAGTCCCTAATGTCATTGGCAGGGTTATTGTTCCTTCCGGGAGAAGGGATTGTCCAGTGAAGCCTATGAGAGGAGCTCTAGAAGGGAGTAGGTAGGATCTGCTGATCCCCATTTGTTCGAATGCACTAGTGTATAGGACATCCACCGAGCTTCCCGTATCAACCATTATTCGCTTCACTTGGTAGCCATTAATGGTGGTGGTGATGACAAGAGGATCATCATGGGGTGTTTCAACACCATGTAGGTCTATGTCACCAAAGGATACAAGCTCTTATGCTCTCATCTTTTTGGGATCATGGTCAACTTGGAGCATCTTCCTGGCGTACTTCTTCCGCTCCTTGTTGGATGAGCCCCCAATCGTCGGGCATCTACTGATTACGTTAATGACTCCTTTATAAGGAGTCTCTACATGTTGTTCATTTATCTGGGGTTGGGGTCGAGGTGACCGAGAGCAAGACCTCACACCTTCTCTAGTTGAAGCAGGGTCTTGTTAATTCCTCCGAGTCGTGAGGTTCTTTAAGTTTCCTCTCGCGATCAGATTCTCTATTTCCCTTCTAAGTATTCGGCGATCATTGGTGATGGCCATGATCCTAATGGTAGTGACAATATTGTCGCGAATCCCTCCTCCCAGGGTCTGACACCATCTTAGCGCGGGATTTTTGAGGTATCCCTCCTTCTGGGCCATGGCCAGGGCGGTAGTGAGGGAAGTGCCAGAGATGGATAGGGATTCCTTTGGAGTTATATCCCTGGGTTGGTCCCTTCGGTTGGGTTAATTAGGATGGGGGTTGGTCCTTGAAGGATCCTTGTGCCATTCTGGCTTCTGGTAGTTCCGGGTTGATGTTGTTGCCGTCGGGGTTAGAATAGTGGCATCAGAAGTCCCAATCCTTCTCGCCGAAGTCTTGTAGGCCCGGACGTCTTCCATATCCATATACCTATGGGCTTTGGACATTAGCTGCTCGTAGTTGGCGACTGGCTTCTTAGCGAGGGAGTCGGCCAATTCGTTGTCCTGAAGGCCTGCTGCCAGCACCGACATCGCAACTGCGCTTCCAGGATCGTTGACTTCCAACCTCTTCGCTTGGAATCTTTTGAAGTAGGCTCGGAGACTCTCATCCTGCCCTTGCCTCATTTGAATCAGCACGTGAGGAGGAAGCTTTTGCTTCGTATCGGCTAGGAAATGATGGATGAACTTTTGGCTGAGCTGCCAAAAACTATCAATGGATCTCTTGTTCAGGGCATTCCACCAGTGCTTAGCACTTCCTTTGAGGGTGACGGGGAAGCATCGACACAGGACTGCTTCAGGAGCGTGGAGCATACTCATTATGTCGAAATAATTTTGAACGTGCTCCGACGGATCTCCCTCTCCTGAGTACGTCTCTAGGTAGGGCATTTTGAATTTTTCAAATGGGTATTTCATTATCTTTTTAGATAGCGGGGTGTTTCCTCTGAAAGCATCAACGATCGGTTGGTACCCTCGATCATAGCCGGAGGCTCCTGTAGTGGTTGAGGAAGCAAAGGAATGGTGAGGCCGAGGTACCTTAAAGCCCGTCCCTTTGGTACGTCCTTCAGGATGGCTAGGGTTAGGATTCTTATCGACATTGTTCAATTGTTTGAGGCATCTTTCCACCTTCTTCTGGGGATCGTGGGGGGACCCGTAACGTGACGCTCCGCGATGTTATAAGGAGATGAGTTCCGGAGGACCGATCTCTAGGTGGTGGGGGCTGTGCAGCTGTGTGTGGTTGCCACGGGATTTGTCACAGGTGCTTAGTTGTCAGAGCGGCGAATTGCTCTTTCAGAGACGAAGAGAGTCGATCTACCGTCTGCTCCAGTTGGCCCTGGGTCATATAATCTGGGGATTGTGTTGACGAAGAGGATTGGTCCCCCCTTCGCCCAGAACTTGACATTTTTTCTCCAAAAGAGGGAAGAGGCCCCATACGGTAGGTGCCAAACTATTGATGTCTGGAATCACACAGCCAATAGGGGGAGGTTGTCTACCGAGGGAGGGTGAACTGTCAGAATACGGGGCCGCTTCCCGCTTCGACTTTATGCCTAGTTTTTAGAGCTCTGGACGGGAGAATAACCTGCATACATACGGATGGTAAGAGGGTGGGGTTTGTTTCCCCCGTGATACCTCCGACGATCAAGTCAGTGGGTTTAATCTTTTTCTTGGTATTTAGAATAGTTTATGGGTTTACTCTTTTTCTTGGTATTTAGAATAGTTTCCTATGTATTATGATAGAAGCTTTAGATGGTTAAGAAAAACCGAACCTGTTCTTAGGATGAATAGTATCTGTATTTATAGATGATGCTCAGGGCAGATTCGTCACTTTAGGGAGTGTTGGCTGGGTGAGCTAGAGGTTGACCCATTCCTTGTTACAAACGTGTCAGCTCGCGATTGTCGGGCAGTCATTTTAGTAGCATGGGGAACTCGTAGCCGACCAGGGCTGAGTTGGTGGGCGAGGAATGGTTACTTCAGTGGCATGGGGAACTCGTAGCCAACCAGGGCTGAGTTGGTGGGTGAGGAATGGTCACTTTAGTGGCATGGGGAACTCGTAGCCGACTAGGGCTGAGTTGGTGGATGAGGAATGGTCACTTCAATGGCATAGGGAACTCGCAGCCGACCAGGGCTGAGTTGGTGGGTGAGGAACGATCAATTCAGTGGCATGGGGAACTCGCAGCCGACCAGGGCTGAGTTGGTGATCCTTCAATATGGATAGTATCAGCTGAGTCCGCTCTTCGAGTCGTCTTCGAGGAAGGCTATCGACCCAACTAGAAGGAACGGCTACTTTCGGGATGGCATACGTGTGGAGAATAGGGAATATCCCCATAATAAATACCTTCTTTCCTTCTTTAATGGTTAAACTCATACATCCCCCACTGTGTCTAGGCATTTAATATTCCCACTATTGAAATCCTGACACAGTATTTGATATCCTACATTACATTAATTATTGATCCATAGCAATTAGCAAACCCCTTGAGTTAGGTTTTTGTAAGAAAATACCATCCAGAACTTGACACCAAAACTCCCACCATGTCCTTATTGACCAGGTGACCTTGGTAATCAACACCATTCTTGTTATTTCCACTACCTTCAAACTCCTATGCGGTCAAACCTTCAGACACTTAAGACCAATGCTAGAATCCTCTCTTGATTCTTTCCATGAACGAGAGAACCACTTAAATTGGATAATCAAACCTTCAGACGATTTAGGGTTATCCAAATTCCACTTTTGCTCACATGAGTTAAAAGGTCTTTTCTTAGTCAACGCCACGTGGCATGACTCAAATTTGATTCTTGGAGTGGAAATCTCATTCTGAGTTTCTCTTCAGATTCTCTGATGCACGTGCATCCAGAATCCTTCAACTCTAAGTTCACGTGAACAAGGAGTCCTAGCCGGAAAAAAAGATAAAAAAAACTTTCTTTCTCTTCAAGACAAGGTTCATCTCTACCCCAAGATGAGACACAATAGTGTTCATCTCTGCCCCAAGAGAAGACACAACATGATTCGTTTCTGCCCCAAGAGGATACACAACAGGGTCCGTCTTTGCCCCAAGATAAGACACAAAACTCTAAAAGTCTACATGTGTAGCCAATTGTTATTATTGACTTAATAACACCTAAATCTGTGCCTATTATGCACAGTGGATTTTATCACTATCCTTAATCAAAGATAAGTTTACGTCTGTTGATGCTCGTAAACAAACAATCGATGGGGGTTGTCAAGTTACTGGATCGTCGAGATGTTGAATCGTTGAGAGGGGGTCACTTTCCATCTTCAACTTTATGCCTGGTTCATAGAGCTCGGGGCGGATGGACCACCTGCACATACAAGAATCGTGGGAGTACGGGGCTTGTTTCCCCTGTGGTACCTCCGACGGTCAAGTCAGCTATCAGACTTGGGTGGGGTGAAGGAAGAACAGTGTATCCTCCCCAAAATAAAAGGTGTAGTTTTTAAGTAGTAAGGAGAATCCAACCTCAATATGTAACTAGAGAATTTTTTTAGGTTCAGGAGTGATGGAGAGACCGAACCTCTTTTCAGGATGAATAGCGTCTGTATTTATAGAGGATGCCAAGGGCAGAATAGACACTTTGTGAGTGTGCAGTCTAGGATGGTGGTGAGGGATGAGCTGAAGGTTGAGTCACCCTTTGCTCTATACGTGTCAATTTACGAGTAATGGAAGGTCACTTTAGTGATATGGGGAACCCGCAGCCACCAAGTCTTGTCTATGAGGGGCGAGAAGTCACTTCAGTGTTGCAGGGAACCCTCAGCCGACAAGGTTCCAGATGACTGAGGATGGAGACATAATGATGATCATAAAAGATTAAATAATGCTGAGAAGAAATTTTCTGAGCCTCCCTTAAGAGGAGTGTTGGCTAATTGCTAAGCAGTAATCTTTTGTTATGAAGAGGTTTGACTGAGTCCGCCTTTCGAGTCGTCTTTAAGGAATGGAGCCTTTCGAGTGAGGGAGTGGTGGCTCGCAGGACAATATACTCGTGAAGAATAGGGGATACCCCATAACAGTTAGAAACTGTTGATGCTCATGAACAAACAATCAATTGGGGTTGCAGGGTTGCAGAATCATCGAGATGTTGAATCGTCGAGAGGGGGCTGCTTTCCTTCTTCGACTTTATGCCTGGTTCTCAGAGCTCGGGGCGGACGGTCCACCTGCATATACAAGAATCATGGAAGTACGGGGCTTGTTTCCCCCGTGGTACCTCTGACGGTCAAGTTAGCTATCTGACTTAGGTGAGGTGAAGGAAGAACAGTGTATTCTTTCCAAAATAAAAGGTGTAGTATTTAAGTAGTAAGGAGAATCCAACCTCTTTTTCATAATGAATAGCATATGTATTTATAGAGGATGCCAAGGGCAGAATGGACACTTTGTGAGTGTGCGGTCTAGGATGATGGTGAGGGGTGAGCTAAAGGTTAAGTCACCCTTTGCTCTATACGTGTCGATTTGCGAGTGATGGAAGGTCACTTCAGTGATATGGGGACTCAGCAACTGACGAGGCTTGTCAGTGGGCGACGTAGGGTCATTTCTGCAGCATAGGGACTCAGCAGCCGTTGTGGCTTGTCGGTGGGTAACGTGGAGTTGTAATGATGATCATAAATTGTTAAAATAATGTTGAGAAATAATATTCCGAGTTGCCCTTGGGAAAAGTGTCGGTTGATCGATGGGTAATCATCTTTTGCTCGACTGAGTCCGCCCTTCGAGTCGTCTTGGAATGAAGTTGACTCGACCGAACCTGCTCTCGGGATAGTATATTTGTAGGGAACAGGGAACACCCTATAACAGTCAGCCCCTTCCGCTTGGATGCGGCTATGGCCGTATGCAAGGGAAAAACAAATGAGCAGAGACTAAGTAGAATTGATTTTCGCAGTGAGATGATAGCGAGTCTTCAGACGGCACGGATGAGGAAACAACAACTGTCATTCCGCTAATGGAAGGGAGGACTGAAGCCCCTGAGATGCTTGCTCCTCCTACTGATGCTGGTGCTCTGGGCCAAGAGACTTCGGTAACTGCTGATGTGACCGCTCTACCTCCGGAGACCCTCGCGGGTTAAGAAGAATAAATAAGAATGAGTCATGTTTCCCTTCTTCTTCTTTTTATCAGTCATTGTAATTGGTATTTTTGACTTTGTAAATAAGAAGAGCTAATGAAGAAAAAAATTCATTTTGAGTGTTTTAAACTCTTGAATTTTTCTTGTTCCTGTGCGATTGAAAGGTGATACAGGAATTGACCTTGAAGTTGAGTGCCCAGGCTCAAAAGAGTCGACTAGGCCTTACCTTTCCCCTAAGGCTGAGAGACAATTGTGGGAGTCGGCCAGAGGGTTGTGCCTTGGTTTTACCCTATGGAGGTACCAAGGACTTTTCATCGATTGAGGAGTCGGGTGCCTAGCTGACTAGGTCTTTCATTTTCCCCTAGGGCCGAGAGGTAACTGTGGGAGTCAACCGAAGGGTTGTGCCTTGGTTTTACCCTGAGGAGGTACCAAGATCTTTTTACCGACTGAGGGGTCGGGTGCCTAGCTGACTAGGTCTTCCATTTTTTAGTTATTATGGAGACACAAAAGTTTGGCTAAAGCCGTTTAATCAGATATATTATCAATTATCTAAGGCATGCATTCTTCATAGGGAATTTTCAACATTCAAGAGATTAAACTAAAATCTTAAAAGAAATACCGTCATAGGTGTTCAATGTTCCATGGATGACTGAGGATTCGTCCATCTGGAGCTCTCAACCGATAGGTGCCAGCTCTGAGTTCCTCCATAACAGTGTAGGGTCCCTCCTAATTGGGAGCCACCTTCGGAGGAGATT